ATAATTAAAATTTTTAGTTTTAATCAAAAACAAAATATTTCATTAATAAAAAAAACCCATTACATTGCATCACTTAAAAAAAATAACATCACATTTAAAAAAACCTACAAACTTAGAAAAAAAGGAAATTAAAATAAAAAACATAAACGAACTACATGAAATCATCGTTCGAGAACTCGTCTTCCGGGTCATCCGGGGGATCCAAATTGAGGTTAATGTGTTGAATCCCGTAAATGTGTTCCACCAAGTCCATACGAAGATTGTGAAATGTTTCATTGGAATGAACCTCTGCTCTCTTTTCAATGTACTCGTCGCCACCAATTTCTATTGTTTGTGTCTTGGGAATGGTTTCCTGCCCATCATAATCACATATCGCTCTTCCTTCGTCTTCGATAATCATGTTATGTAGTATTATACATGCATACATGACTTCATGCTTTTTTTCCTCGCTGAAAAAGATTGCTGGTTTTTTCAATATGAACCAACGTTTCTTGAGAGCTCCAAAAGCCCGTTCGACATCCTTCCTAGCTCTTTCTTGTGCTTTATTGAATTTTTTCCGGCGAGTATCATGCGAAAACATAAGCGATTTAACAAAAACTGCATACTCAGGATAGATCCCATCAACTAGATAATAACCATATTTATATGTTGTTCCACGCAATTGAAAAGAAGAATCTGGTGCAGATCCGTCATATATGTTGTTAAATATAGGTGAACGATTAAGAACATTAATGTCGTTAAGAGAACCAGGAGAACCAAAACAAAACATGCCAAATCCACAGATCCTGTGATGCCACCGCTTCAAGTATGACCGTTGGATGCTCATGATCACCTCAGGTAAATTGACCGTGGTGTGAGGTAAGGCAATTTTCCCAAGCCCAATGTAGACAATCTAAACTTCCTAACATTCAAGGAAAGCCATGTACGTTAGCATGATGAGATTGCAATTTCATGATGTCATTGTGTGTAGGCTTACGTAAATATTTTGGCCCATAAAGTTGAATAATAGTTTTGCAAAAATAATGGAGACTATCTCGTGTAGTCCTAGCGGACATCCTAAAACTCTCGTCCAACGCATCAGGAGAGATGCCATATGCTAATTGACGAAGTGCAGCTGTGCATTTTTGTAAAGGGTGAAACCGGGTGTATCTCTAACATCGGGCTGTTGTTGGAAAAAATCACACTCCCCCGTTAGATCTTCGACTATATGTTCGTACAAAAGGTTTGAACATTCTGAAACGCCTTCGGAAATAGTACCATTGAAAAGTGGCATTTTCTTGAAAGTAGTCTTGTATCAAACGTTGGTTTGCCTCTTCACGATTTCTATAAACATATATTCGGGTTCTCCGTTCTGCACTTTCGGCTGCGCTACTGCATGCCGCTTCATACGTTTGTTCCGCCAATTTAGCAGCAGCGACAAAAAAATCAAACATAATATCAAAAGTCTTCAGAAGAATCGAATGACGACATTTTTTAATTTTTTTTAAGAGGAAATGTAGTAGAAAGATAAAAATAATTGTTAAGGTTTGAGAGGTTTAAATAGAAAAGTTTAAAGGTTAAAAAGGAAAAAAAGAACATTTTTTTTAAAAAAAAATCCGACACTTCAACGGTCATTTTGAATGAAAATGGAAAAGAGGAGTACTCCCGTGGGAAGCCGTAGTGCGGTCTCCACCGCACCCAAACCGCGGTGGAGGGGCGGTATTCCAGCCTATGTGGCACCGGTGGTGCGGTCTCTACCGCAACCACTCTCACCGGCCTTAGCGGGCTCAGGAGTAGAAAGAAAGAGCATATATCTGTGAGTTAAATATTTTTTTAAAGATTATGTTTGATGATAGTTTAAGACATAATAGTTTATCTATTGGGTATAATTAAAAATACAGAATCATATATTAAATTCTCGTTTCTATGAAAATAAAAAATTTTCTTATATTTTAACGAAATGAGTATGCAAAAGTAACTTTTCAACCATATAAGAAATGTAGATTTCAAGACAGAAATTACATTGTGGATAATAGAATCAAGTCCCAAAAATGTTTAATATATTGGAAAAAGGGTGTAAACTAAATATTTATTTAAATCTAAGGGGTTCACAATGAAAATAAACTTTTTCTTACATCTACGCGGTATTTGAAATCTATTCCGGGTTAAACCCGTGTAAGTTGCAGCACCCGGCGGGATAATATCCTTCAAACCGTTATCCCTTTCTCCTTCACTGTCTGCTTCAAGTCTGTAATTTCCTTCAACCAATCAACTCCATCTTCCGCTCACTCACTTTTGATTTTGTTGCAAGGTAATCTCACGATTTCTCTTGAAATTTTTTATCACTTCTGTTTATTTTGATTTTTGTTGTTTTCATGAAATTGTTATCATGACATTTTCGATATGGAAAAACTGGAGGCAAAGATAGTTGATTGTACACATTTACGTTCGCGATTATTCTTTTTAATTGGAAGTAATTTTAGTAACTCTCAATGTAACAGTTCGACATGCAATTCAAGTGTTCGATGAAATGCCTGATGCCCTGAACTATATCTTCTTTAGGCATGAACTCAAATTCCGATTCTTTTCTTCTCGAAGATGATTCTTTATTGTCTGCTCCCTTTTTTTTTTTAAGATTCCATAGAAGTGATAACTGATCCATCTGAGTTCTGACTATTTACAATGGCAACCGATTTATTAGTAAAAAGCACATATCTGGAGTTCTCTTCTAAGCTTGGCTTATTCACCTCAAATTCACATAACAAAGTAAGATATTCCTCTTTCCTTCTCCATACTTCTGACACTCGAATGAAGTATTAAAGAATTTGTTCATATGTGACCCTTTGATTTGTATATATCAATTGCAGGCTAAAAGTTCAACAAAATCTTTGTCCTCTCTCCCTACCCGTAAAAATCGGGTAGTCCAAATCCAAAGTTACAGTGATCAGATTCATGTCCAGAAATTGGTCAACTTCCTCCATGAATGTTCACGAGAAAGATCCATCAAAGAAGCAAAAGCAATTCATGGGTATGTGTTAAAATCCAATTATTCCAATGAAGACTTACTGATATTACTCAATCATGTAGCTCACACATATTCAAAGTGCTCAAACTTGAAAGAAGCTCAGTTATTATTCAACACAATGTGTGAAAAAAATGTTTTTTCATGGACTGTAATGGTTACAGGATCAACAGAGAATGGGCTATTTCATGATGCATTCAGATACTTCATTGAGATGCAAAATTGTGGAATATTTCCAGATGCATTCACCTATTCTGCATTTATTCAGTTATGTCTAGGCCTTGATTATCTTAATTTGGGAAAAATGATACACTCACAAATAATTAAAACAAGATACACATTAAATGTTCGTGTTGCCACATCACTTCTTAACATGTATGCAAAGATGAGAAAGGTTAATGATTCATGGAAAGTTTTCACTTCAATGGAAGAACATAATGAAGTTTCATGGAATGCTTTGATATCAGGGTTCACAGAAAATGGTCTCTATGCAAAAGCATTTGATTCTTTTCTTGAAATGATTGAAAAAGGATTTACTCCTAATAAATTCACGTTTGTCAGCGTTCTAAAGGCAATTGGGAAATTGCATGATGTTAGTAAAGGAAAACATGTCCATAAATGCATTATTGAATCGGATATGGAGTCTGATGTTTTTGTGGGAACTGGATTAATTGATATGTACTCCAAATGTGGAGATATATCGGATGCTAGATCTGTTTTTGACACATATTTCATCGCTTGTTCTTTAAATATGCCATGGAATGCAATGCTTTCAGGTTACATACAGTGTAATTGCATCCAAGAAGCTCTAGAGCTTTATCTGAGAATGTGTGAATCCAATATAAAATCAGATGTTTACACTTATTGTAGTGTATTTACCGCAATTGCCACTATGAAAAGTTTAAGGTTAGTGAGACAAGTTCATGGGATTGTGAAAAAGTCTGGATACGAGTCATATGACAATGACAATGACACTGACACTGACAATGACACTGTGTCCTTAAGTGTTAGAAATGCAATTGGAGATGCATACTCTAAATGTGGTTCACTTGAAGATGTAAAGAAAGTTTTTGATAAAGTAAAGGAACGAGATGTAGTATCGTGGACAATCTTGATGAGTTGTTATTCTCGGTGTCTTCAATGGGAGGAAGCACTTGTGATTTTCTCGGAGATGAGAAAAGACGGTTTTACCCCTAATCAGTTCACGTTTTCTAATGCCCTTGTAGCGTGTGCTAGTCTTTGTTTTCTTGAATATGGTCGACAACTTCATGGACTTATATGGAAAACCGGATGGAATACTGATAATTGTATAGAAAGTGGTTTGATTGATATGTATGCAAAATGTGGAAGCATAAATGATGCGAAAATTGTATTCGAGAGTGTAAATAATCATGATGTTGTGACATGGACATCTATTATTTCAAGCTATGCACAACATGGTGATGTTGTTAATGCTCTTGAAATGTTCAAAAAGATGAAAGATAATGGTTTTGAACCGAATTCTATCACAATGTTGTGTGTTTTGTTTGCTTGTAGCCATGGAGGTAGGGTAGAAGAAGGACTTTATTATTTCAAAACCATGAAGGAAATTTACAATTTGGTCCCTCAAATGGAGCATTATAGTTGTGTTGTTGATATGTTAGGTCGTGTTGGACGTATAAATGATGCGTATGTGTTTATAAAGAAAATGGATGTAGAACCGAATGTAATGGTTTGGGAGAATTTACTAGGAGCATGTAGGGTTTATGGAAATATTGAATTAGGAGAGATAGCTGCAAAAAAGATAATTTCAATTAATCCACATGATTCGTCTCCTTATGTTCTTCTTTCTAATGCGTATGTGCAAAGAGGGAGTTTTATGGAAGGAATTGGAGTGAGAAATGTGATGAAAGAAAGAGGAGTTAAGAAGGAAGCGGGGTGTAGTTGGATATGTGTTAGAGGTAGAGTTCATAAGTTTTATGCAAAAGATGAAGAACATGAAGAAAAAGATGAATTATATTTTGTGTTGGATGTGTTGAAAGAGAAACTAAGGGATATGGGTTATATACCGGATTTAAGATACGTATTGGAAAGTGATTATTGAAGTATAAGGCTGAACGGAGTGGGAGGTGCCAAAGCACTCGCTAGGCTCGCTAAAGGAAGGAGAACACCGCCCCCTAGCGCTCGCTATGTTGCACTCGTTACTTCCTTGGCGAGAGGAGAGAGAAGGAAAAGGGAGACTGATTGGTGGTCAATGGTTTGACAATATTGCGACCATCAGGGGCGGATTGGTGATCCAACAATTTGTTATTTGGTCTTCGTTTGTAAACCATTGATTACAGAAGGTGAGAAGAAACACAAATGTCTGCTTCGTTTGGTTCTTCAATGGGGGCTGCCTTCCACATATCCCCAAAGCAATTGGGTTAGGTATGCTTTATATCTTTGGTGGCCTTTACTGGGTTGTTGGGCTTGAATTATTTAGCCCTTGACACATGATATGTAATTGAGTTATTTAATTTAACTGTATATGTAATTTATTATTTTAGTTTAACACGTTTGTGGTAAGTTATTTTATTGTCATTTACTGTTAGTTTATATGTTTTATGTTAATAAATTTGTTATTTAAGAATTTCTTTCGTTTATGCAAAATAAAGTTTGGCATTTTGATTATGTGCTTTTAAAAGTTAAAGTAAACTTATTTGTCAACCACAAAAAAGCTTGTATCAAGTGCATAAAATTTGTTTAATATTTATGCATAAAAATGTTTTTATATTAAAATAAAGTAATTTAATTAAACTAAAAAAAGAAAATCAAAAATAAAAAAAATGGAGTGTTAGGAGTGTTACCACTCCCTACCAAATGCTAAGATTAAGTGTTAAATTGTAAAAAATGAGGTGACATTTCAAAATATGATGTGACAAAGTGTTAAGAGTGTTACCACTCCCCTTAGCCTAAGAATGTGATATCTTAAAATCCTAATGACTAATCAAATATTTGTAAAAAAAAAAATACAAAATAGGAAAATCAATGATTTTTTACAAACAAAAAGATTAAAAAATTATATAGAAAGCAAAATCTAGATATTAAAGGGATTAGTATCCAATTAAAAAAATTCATACAACACTAAACTATTAGAAAATTTAACCGTTCGATATAAAATTAGAAAGTTCATTACTTAGAAAAAGAATCACTAATTTTTTTTTACCATCTAAGTCAAACTAAGCATGTAAAATGAATTGATAATACATTTCCTAATTCATAATCAATAATATATTTCTAGTGGTTAGAATATAAAATTATAATGTAAAATCATGAAATATCTTAAAAATTAAAAGATTTCTACAAATAAAGATGAGTTACAATGTAATTTCCCATTCAATTCCACTATGAAATGAGAAAAAAAATATATATCAAGAATTAATAAATAGAGGAAATCATGTGTCCGTAATTGGTAGAAATAACTTGGTTTTTAAAAAAAATATCATATTTTAAACCATGGGCGTGTTCGACACGGAGCGTTTGAAAGCTTGTAACTTATAGCGTTTAACAAAACACTTCGTTTTGAACAGAAAGCGTCGTTTGACACTACAAGCTTATAATGTTTAGTTAAAAAAAAAAGCTTCAAATCCAAATGCTACTTTACGTAGCGTTTAACAAAACGCTACCAGCTACAAGCTACCCGCTACCAATTATTTTTGCCGAACACGCCCATTATATCTAATTTTTTGGTAGATTTTATTAAAAAACAAAATATTTTCTCAAAATTTTAGAATTATTCTTCATATTTTGGAGTTGGAATTATATTTGAAATTACTCATCATAATTTGGAATTATTCATAGGATTTCGAGCTTGTTTTTAAAACAAGATAGTTTTTTTCCTATTTGAAATTCGGAATGTCAGTCCTCACAAAGATATACATACATTTGAGAACAAATTTTGACCACACAATTTTTTTTAAATTAAAATCATCATATAATATTAATATAAAACAAGAAATAAGTAAAAAATATTAAAAAAAAATCACTAACCAACACCACTCACAACCTAAACAATACCATCCACCACCACCATCCGTCACCATCACCCCCACCTACCACCCACCAAAACCACCACCAACCACCATCACCACCACCCACCACTACCACTACCCACCCATCTCCACTACCCACCACTACCACTCACCCGCTACCCACCATTATGACCACCACCTGTCACTACCACCAACCACCACCCACTACCCATCACCACCACCCGCCAGCATCACCTCCACCCACCACCTACCAAAACCACCGACCACCGACAACCATCGACCACCACCCAACTTCACCACCCATCACAACCACGCGCCACCACCACCCTATCCAT